GCGCCACCATGCCCAGCTGATTTTTTGTATTTTTAGTAGAGACGGGGTTTCACCATGTTGACCAGGATGGTCTCGATCTCTTGACCTCGTGATCCACCCGCCTCGGGCTCCCAAAGTGCTGGGATTACAGGCGTGAGCCACCGCGCCCGGCTCCATCAGCATTTTTTAAATAAATGAATAAAGCCCAGAATGATTGCAAAATTAACTGTGGAACCTCTGCCTTTGTATATTGTTCCATCTTAGGTCATTCTATTAACAATATTTACTTGCCCCTGCCCACCAGCCTGGCACTTCTGTGGACTAATCAACCCACAGCAACTCCTCTGGCAGAGACTTTTATCTGCCCCCCAGTACCATGCTGTTTCAGTGACTGTGGCCTTATAGCGTAGCTTGAAATCAGGTAATGTGATGCCTCCAGAATTTGTTCTTTTTGCTTAGCCTTGCTTTGCTATGCGCTCTTTTTTGGTTTCATATAAATTTTAGAATTGTTTTTTCTATTTCTGTGAAAAATGATGGTGGTATTTAGGTAGAAATTGCAAGAAATATGTAGATTGCTTTTGGCATTATGGTCATTTTCTTTACTTTTAGTTTTATTTATTTATTTTTTTGAGATGGAGCCTTACTTTGTTGGCCAGGTTGGAGTGCAATGGTGTAATCTCAGCTCACTACAACCTCCACCTCCTGGGTTCAAGTGATTCTTCTGCCTCAGCCTCCTGAGTAACTGGGATTACAGGTGCTCACCATACCTGGCTAATTTCTGTATTTTTAGTAAAGACAGGATTTCACCATATTGGCCAGGCTGTTCTCGAACTCCTGATCTCGTGATCCACCCACCTCAGCCTCCCAACATGCTGGGATTACAGGCGTGAGCCACCCCATCCAGCCAGTCATTTTCACAATATTGTTTCTGCCCATCCATGAGCATGGGCGTGTTCCCATTTGTTTGTGTCATCTATGATTTATTTCAGCAGCATTGTGTAGTTTTCCTTGTAGAAGTCTCATATCTCCTTGGTTAGGTATTTTCCTAAGTATTTTTATTTTTATTTTTATTTTGTAGCTACTGTAAAAGGGGTGGAGGTCTTGATTTGATTCTCAGCTTGGTCACCATTGGTGTATAGGACAGCTACCAATTTGTATACATTAATTTTTAGCCGGAAACTGCTGAATTCTTTTATTGGTTCTAGGAGCTTTTGGATGAGTCTTTAGGGTTTTCTAGGTATACAACAATATTGTCAGCAAACACCATGAGTTTGACATCCTCTTTACCAATGTGGATGCCTTTAATTTCTTTCTCTTGTCTGATTGCTCTGGCTAGGACTTCCAGTACTGTGTTGAAAAGGAGTGGTGAGGTGAGCATCCTTGTCTTGTTTCAGTTCTCAGAGGGAATGTTTTCAACTTTTCCCCATTCAGTATTTTGTTGGCTGTGGGTCTGTCATAGGTGGCTTTTAATACATTGAAGCATGTCCCTTGTGTGACAGTTTTGCTGAGAGCTTTCATCATAAAGCGATGCCAGATTTCATTGAATGCTTTTTCTGCATCCATTAAGATAGTCATGTGATTTTTTTGTCTTTAATTCTGTTTGTGTGGTGTATCACATTTATTGACTTGCATATGTTAAACAATCTCTGCATCCCTGGTATGAGACCCACTTGATCATGGTAGATTATCTTTTTAATATGTTGTTGAGGCTGGGCGCGGTGGCTCACGCCTGTACTTCCAGCACTTTGGGAGGCTGTGGCAGGTGGATCACGAGGTCAAGAGATCGAGACCATCCTGGCCAATACGGTGAAACCCTGTCTCTACTAAAAATACAAAAATTAGCTGGGCGTGGTGGTGTGCACCTGTAGTCCCAGATACTCTGGAGGCTGAGGCAGGATAATTGCTTGAACCTGGGATGCGGAGGTTGTAGTGAGCCGAGATCCGGCCACTGCACTCCAGTCTGGTGCCTGGCAACAAAATAAAACTCTGTGTCAAAAAAAATATGTTGGCCGGGCGTGGTGGCTCAAGCCTGTAATCCCAGCACTTTGGGAGGCCGAGGCAGGTGGGTCACGAGGTCAAGAGATCGAGATCATCCTGGTCAACATGGTGAAACCCCGTCTCTACTAAAAATACAAAAAATTAGCTGGGCATGGTGGTGCGTGCCTGTAATCCCAGCTACTCAGGAGGCTGAGGCAGGAGAATTGCCTGAACCCAGGAGGCGGAGGTTGCGGTGAGCCGAGATCGCACCATTGCACTCCAGCCTGGGTAACGAGTGAAACTCCGTCTCAAAAAAAAAAAAAAAAAAAATTGTTGTTGAATTCAGTTAGCTAGTATTTCACTGAGGATTTTTGCATCTACGTTCCTCAGGGATATTAGTCTATAGTTTTTTGTTTGTCTGTTTTTGGTTATGTTCTCTTCTGGTATTGGTATTAGAGTGACACCGGCTTCATAGAATGATTTAGGGAACATTCTTTCTTTCTCTGTCTTGTGGAATAGTACCAATAGAATTGGTACCAATTCTTCTTTCAATGTCTTGTAGAATTAAGCTGTGAATCCGTCTGGTCCTGGACTATTTTTTGTTGGTAATTTTTTTTATTACCCTTTCAATCTCACTGCTTATTATTGGTCTGTATAGGGTATCTAATTCTTCCTGATTTAAGCTAGAAGGGTTGTATCTTTCCGGGAACTTATCCATCTCCTCTAGGTTTTCTAGTTAATGTACATAAAGGTGTTCATAGTGGCCTTGAATGAGCTGTATTTCTGTGGTGTTTGTTGTAACATTTCCCATTTTGTTTCTTATTGAGCTTACTTGGATTTTCTCTCTTCTTTTCTTGGCTAATCTTGCTAATGTTTTATCAATTTTATCTATCTTTTCAAAGAACCAGCTTTTTGTTTCATTTATCTTTTATATATTTTTTGTTTGTTTGTTTCAATTTCATTTCGTTCTGCTCTGATCTTGGTTATTTTCTTTCTTCTGCTGGGTTTGGGTTTGGTTTGTTCTTGTTTCTCTAGTTCCCTGAGGTGTGACCTTAGATTGTCTGTTTGTGCTCTTTCAGACATTTTGATGTAAGCATTTATGGCTTTCCTCTTATCACCACTTTTGTTGTATCCCAGAGGTTTTGACAGGTTGTGTCACTATTGTCATTTAGTTTGAAGAATTTTTCAAATTTCCATCTTGATTTCATTTTTGACCTAATGATCATTCAGGAGAAAGCTATTTAATTTCCATGTATTTGCATGGTTCTGAAGGTTCCTTTTGGAATTGATTTTCCAGTTTTATTCCACTGTCATCTGAGTGAGTGCTTGATATAATTTCAATTTTCTTAAATTTATTGAGGCTCATTTTGTGGCCTATCATTTGATCTATCTTGGAGAAAGTTACATGCACTGATGAATAGAATATATATTCTGTGGTTCTTGGGTGGAATGTTCCATTAAGTCCATTTGTTCCAGGGTAGAGTTTAAATCCTGTGTTTCTTTGGTGACTCTGTTCTGATGACCTGTCTAGTGCTGTCGGTGGAATATTGAGCTTCCCCACTATTATTGTGTTGCTATCTCATTTCTTAGGCATATTAGTAATTGTTGTATAATTTGGGAGCTCCAGTGTTAGGTGCATATATATTTGGGATTGTGATATTTTCCTGTTGGGCAGGGCTTTTTATCATTATGTTATTTCCCTTTTTGTCTTTTTTTAACTGCCATTGCTTTCAAGTTTGTGTTGCCTGATATAAGAATAGCTATTCCTGCTTGCTTTTGGTGTTTGTATGGAATGTCTTTTACCACCCTTTAGCTTAAGTTGATGTGAGTTCTTACATGATAGGTGAGTCTCTTGAAGGCAGCAGATAGCTGGTTGGTGAATTCTCCATTCTGCAATTTTGTATCTTTTAAGCGGAGCATTCAGACATTTACATTCAATGTTAGTATTGAGATATGAGGTGCTATTTCATTCAACATGCTATTTGTTGCCTGTATACCTTGTTTGTTTAAATTTTATTTTATAGGTTCTGTGAAATTTATGCTTTAAAGAGGTTCTGTTTAATGTGTTTCCAGGATTTGTTTCAAGATTTAGTGCTCTATTTAGCAGTTCTTGTAGTCCTGACTTGGTAGTGGCAAATTATCTCAGCGTTTGTTTGTCTGAAAAAGGCTGTGTCTTTCTTTCATTTATGAAGCTTAGGTTTATTGGATACAAAATTCTTGGCTGATAATTGTTTTGTTTAAGGCTGAAGACAGGGTCCCGATCCTTTGTAGCTTGTAGTGTTTCTGCTGAGAAATCTGCTGCTAATCTGATAGGTTTTCCTTTATAGGTTACCTGCTGCTTTGCCTTACAGCTCTTGATTCTTTTCTTCATCTTAACTTTAGATAACCTGATGACAATGTGCCTGCCTAGGTAGTGATCTTTTTGTGACAAATTTCCCAAATGTTCTTTGAGCTTTGTGCAGTTGGATATCTAGGTCTGTAGCAAGGCCCAGGAAGATTTCCTTGATTATTCCCCCAAATATCTTTTCCAAACTTTTGAATTTCTCTTCTTCCTCAGGAACAGCGTTTATTGTTAGGTTTGGTCATTAAACATAATCCCAAACTTCTTGGAGGCTTTGTTCACATTTTCTTATTCTTTTCCTTCTTTGTTGGATTCGGTTAATTATAAAACTTTGTCTTTAAGCTCTAAATTTCTTTCTTTGGTTTGTTCGGTTCTATTGCTGAGATTTTCCAGAGCATTTTGCATTTCTATAAGTGTGTCCATTGTTTCCTGAAGTTTTGTTTTTTATTTATGCTATTTCGCTAAAGATTTCTCCCCTCATTTCTTGTATTATTTTTTTGATTTCCTTAAATTTGGCTTCACTCATCTCTGGTACCTCCTTGATTAGCTGAATAACTGACCTTCTGAATTCTTTTTCAGGTAAATCAGAGATTTCTTCTTGGTTTGAATCCATTGCTGGTGAGCTAGTGTGATTTTGGCGGGCTGTTAAAGAACTTTGTTTTGCCATATTACCAGAGCTGGTTTTCTGGTTCCTTCTCATTTGGGTAGGCTCTGTCAGAAGGAAGGTTTAGGGCTCAAGTCTGTTGTTCAGATTCTTTTGTCCCCTGGGGTGTTTTCGCCCTTTTCCTATGGATGTGGCTTTTTTTCTTATGGATGTGGTTTTCGCCCTTTTCCTATGGATGTGGCTTCCTGAGAACTGAGCTATAGTGACAGTTATCTCTCCTGGATCTAGCCACCTAGCAGATCTACCCGGCTCCAGGCTGGCACTGGTAGTTGTCTGCACAGAACCCTGTGATGTGAATCATCTGTGGGTCTCTCAGCTTATGGGTACCAGCATCTCCTCTGTTGGAGGTGGCAGGGGAGTGAAATGGACTCTGTGAAGGTCCTTAATTTTGGTTGTTTAATGTACTATTTTTGTGCTGGTTGGTCTCCTGCTAGGAGGTGATGCTTTCAAGAGAGCATCAGCTGTGATAGTATGGGGAGGATCTGGTGGTGGCTGGGGCCCTAAACTTCCACGAGTATGTGCCCTTGGTCTCCAGCTACCATGGTGGGTAGGGAAAGGCTATCAGGCTGGGGCAGGGCTAGATGTGTCTGAGCTCAGACTCGCCTTGAGTGGGTCTTGCTGTGGTTGCTGTGGGGATGGGGGTATGGTTCCCAGGTTAATGGAGTTATGTTCCTAGGAGGATTATGGCTGCCTCTACTGTGTCATGCAGGTTGTCTGGGAAGTGGGGGAAAACTGGCAGTCATAGGCCTTACCCAGCTCCCACACAACCCAAAAGGCCAGTCTCACTCCCACCATGCTTCCTCCAGCAACAGCACTGAGTCTGTTCCCAGGCAGTGGGCAATCAGGGCTGAGAACTTGTCTCAGACTGCCAGCCTTCCAGCTGCAAAAACAAGTAGGGCTTTCATGCTTCCCTGCCTGTGGGATCTGCCCACTGGATTCATTTCCTCCCCCCAAATTCTAGCCAGGAGACTTCTCATTTGGTTGAATTGTTACAAAGTTCAGCTGGAGGTTTCCTTCTCCCTGTGGCCTTTTCCCAGTACCTCTGGTAGCCTATATATCAGCCATATACCCAGAGACTTTGTGCATCTATACACAGGTCATATGGCCGATTCTTTATTCTTTCCTGTGTAAACATGGAGCAGAAGAGGCATTCATGTCTGGTTTCATTAGGAATTTTATATTTTTTCCATATATAATTTTCCCTGGGTAATAGACTTACCATTCCCCAGATCTACATAACCTCTAAGCCTCAGTAAAACTCTAAATTAAACACAATTTGTTTCTATCCTTCCAGTGTTTTTCTCCCCTGAGAAAATGTGGTTGCAGGTTCCCCAAGAACTTTTCCCCAGAAATATACTTGCAGTTTTTCTGAGCCTTAAAAATTTAAACTAGTGTTTCCCAAAGAGTAGTTTCAGATCTGCATCAAAATTACCTGGGAGTGTTGTTATTCTGAAGAGTAACATGGAGTCTTGGGCCTTGAACTCACTTAGTCCCACTATCTGGAGTTGGAGCATCTGTGGTTTAGAAGCTCTCTAGGTGACTGTAAGGAACAAAAAACCTTCGAGTCACTGCTTTCAAGTAGACACTAGAGGCCATTTTTGCTAACCCTCAGGTCACCTCTCCTCTGCATAGATGCAGCTACCTCCCACCCATCTTGCTAAAATCAGAGCTTCAAAAATTTTACTGCCTTCCTGCTCAGAGTATGGATCATGGACTAGCATTGTCATTCCTGGGTAACTGTTAAAAATGCCCATCTCGGGCCTCCCTTTAGATCTACCAAACCAGAATATGCATTTTAACAAGCTGTCCAGGTGATTCCTAAGCAGGTGAGTATGGGGGAAGCACTAAGCACCAGCACTGTGCCTTCTCTTGCAATACGACAGAGCCCTCCTCCATTCCTATGGCTTGGCTAAGGACACAACTTACACTATGCATAAACCTGCCACTGAGGAAGGAGGCCAGTGGTGGAATCGATTACTGAGTGTCCATTGAGGGCCACAGACAGGATAGTGGGAAGATGTCTGTAATAGTTAATTTAAGCGTCAATTTAGCTAGGTCACATCATCCGGATATTGGATCAAACACTAATCTAGATATTGCTATGAAGCTATTTTTTAGGTGAGATTAACATTTAAATCAAGAGATTTTGAGTAAAGCAGATTATCTTCCTTTCATGATGTAGGTGGGTCTTATTCAATCCACTGAAGTATATTAAGAGAATAACGACTGACCTTTCTTGAGGAAGAGGAAATTGTGCCAGCAGACAGCCTGTGGAGTTGAGCTGCAACATGGACACTTGCCTGCGTCTCCAGCCTTCTGCCCTACCCTGCATATGTTGGACTTACCAGCCTCCACAATGTGTGAGACGATGCCTTAAAATAAATCTCTGTCTCTGTCTCTCTCATATATATAATATCACATATTTATATCTATCTATATCTATCTATCATCCATCCACCTCTCTGTCTCTATCTAATCTTCTATAGATTCCATTTGTCTGGAGAATCCTAAAATGCTACAAAACCAATGCAAATCTCCTTTACTGCCATGCGCTTTTCTCTTCACATTCTTCCATTTTTCCCTCTCACCTATGGAATAAATCCAAAATTCCTTAGAATGATATTCAAGGTCTCATTTTCCACCTACTGCCACATTTCTGTCTCATTAGGCTACTCCATTTCAGACCAGCTTTCATGTCTCTGCTCGTTCCATCTCTCCCTGGCCTCCTCCTGTAATCCTTCTCATCTCTGACGCATCTTCATTACCAAATACAAACACACAAGTGTTTGTTCAATGTTATCAAATGAAATCTTCCCCTTTCCACCAGCCTCTTACCACTATTATACTCTGAAAAACCTCTGAAAGATTATTTATAAAATATATTATCATTAAATTAATGTATATCCTATTCTTTCACTAGACTTCAAGTCCCTTGAAGGCAGGAAATATGTTTTATTACCCATTTGTTTACATGTGTTCCTCTCAGTCTCTATTCAGTAAAATTTACTAAATGAATAAAACGTTGTATGTTTGATATATGTTATTGATTTATTAAGTATATTCTAAATACTAAACATGGAGAGAGACTATGTTTGTTTGTTTGTTGGTCTGTTTACTTTGTAACAGAAAATGTCGCACTAAGAAGACTAACCCTCTCAGAGATTGCTATTGTATGGAATACCTAAAATAGAATTCCCCTTCCTTTATTCCTTGTGCTGTCTTCCTGATTTGTTTTTGCTTTTTTTTTTTTTTTTTTTTTTTTTTTTTTTTGGTAGCGTTTTCCACTATCTGGCATTTCATTTGTGTACAATGTTATTTATTGCTTGTCTTCTTCCTCAAGAATATAGGCTCCATGAGAGTTTGCACTTGTGAATGCTTAATAAATATTTTTGAATGAACTCATTTATATTTGAGCATGAATGCATGGTCAAGTCATGAGTGTCTGTCCATTAAAAATAACAAAAACATTTACATGCTCAAGTAGAAGAAGCTGGATATGAATATTCAACTGTAGAATGGTGAAAAGTCAATCTTACTGATTTTGGTTTTATTCTTGGGTAACATAAGAGGCTGGCCTTGGGTAGAGGTTCTTCAACTTAATTTTTAGTATCAGAGTCCCTTTCTCAAAATCAAATGTTATATAAAAGTATGGCAACCCTGTGGAAGGACTGTCTGCCCAGAGGAAGAGTGACATTTTCTGGCTTGTGCAAAGGCTCCATGTGGACTAGCAGAGGCCCTTCATGGAGCTTTAATACAAAAATCAGATGAAAACGGTATTTATTGCTCTGTTAAAGCAGGGATGAGGAACCTTGTCCTTTGGGCGTCCACCTTATCATTCCTTGTGGTCCCTAAGGCATCTTTGGGGGAAGTAGGACTTCATGAAATACACTTTGAAAACCACATGATCCAGTGCCTCTGAGGAAAATTCCAGCTCCAAGCATCATTAATCACGTGGGACTTTCAGCCTAAAACAACTCAGGCCTAGGGAGGTGTAAAGTTTTAATAGAAACTGATGTGGCACTGATTTCATAGAGAAGCAAAACAGAGGCTGATAGCATCTGTAAGCATTTAGATTATAGTGGAACCAGGGGCAATAAGCAGCCTGGATTTTGAGATTGAACCAAGCTGAGAAAACCTCATTGCTTTTTTTTTCTTTTTTAAATGGGAATGAGAATTGCATGATTAATAAAAGAGAGAGAGAAAATGAAGATGTAACATAACCTAATTTTAGTAAAGCACTTAATACAGTATCTAATAAAGTCTTACTTGCAAAATGAATTCAAATTGAATTGGATTTGGACTCTAGCATTCTGTACAGGCTAAAAGCTGAGGGCTGATGACATCAAAACCAGGGAAAGATGCGATGTATCACATTACAGAGGTGTCTCATAGCCCTGCCCCAGGAATCAATGAAACTCTAGTGTTAGTTAACAGCTTCATTAACGATCTACAAGATGAGACAAAAGAGTATCTTAATGAATGTTACTGAAGAAACTGTGGAGAGATGCTGCAAATCCCAGTCTCAACTGAGAGGTTTGCAATGAGAAAATAAATATGTAGAAGCAGCTGAGAACAAACAGCTTAGGCACTAATATTTGGGGGAAAATGCTTTGCAAGAGTTTGAAGAAATGCATTTCTTAAACCTTATAAAATAGTATTCTTGGAGATTTGAATAAAATAAACGTTTATGTCAACGATGAAATTAAGGTTATGCCTAACCTATATGCCCAGGGCAATTCTTTCCACCAACAAAACAAATATATAAGTAAATAACCACAGCGCATTATAAAGTAGCAGCTAGACAAAAGTCACTTTTTACCTTCTTCCCTTTTGCTCTTTCTTTTGGCATGTTTGTGGCAGAACTCTGGTATAGAATTGCTACAAAGAACAATAGAAAGGGATTTAGTTAACTGATCAATTTTATTTTAGAAACAGGGTCTCACTCCGTCACCCAGGCTGGAGTGCAGTGGTGTGATCATAGCTCACTGTAACCTCAAACTCCCAAGCTCAAGTCATCCTTCTACCACAGCCTACTGAGTAACTGGGTCTACAGATTCACCACCATGTCCAGATAATAATTAAAAAAAACTTTTTAGATGCAAGGTCGTGCTACGTTTCCCAGGCTGGCCTAGAACGCCTGGCCTCAAGAGATTTTCCTGCCTCAGTCTCCCAAGTGCTGAGATTAAAGGCATGACTCACTGTACCCAGCAGGTTTAACTGGTTTCTGGTTTTGTTTTTAATGGAGATGACATTAGCAGATACAGGCAGCATTCATAAAGACTTGTGCCTTGCCTCCTTTCCCCTGCCATCCCAGAAAAAGAACTTCAGTGGCTTCTAGATTTTTTTCAGAGGAAGGTGAAAAAAGAGAATAAAGAATTCACATGGTATCAAAGCTGAATGCTTCCTCTCCATTACTGCCCCCTAAACCAGTACTGTATAGAGAAAGAAAGCCAACACGTATTCCATAGTAAAGTCATTAATTTAACCTTTTTTTCTTTTTTTCATTTCTATGTAACAGGATGCAAAGCAGAGTCCTTAACCTTAGGAAGTGCATGGTTTAGTAGGGAGAGAGCCAAAAAGCTAACATTGAAAGAAACAAGTGTTCACATCTCCATATGAGATGGGGGCATAGGAAAAAACAGAGATCTCTTCAATGGAAAATGAAGCATTTGAACCATGACCTGAAAACTCATAAGCACTTCAAAGGCTATCAATCAGACGAGAGAATGATGGGGAGGTGAGTGGCAGTAGGAGCAGGAAATGAGGTCAAAATGGTGAAGGCACCAAATCATGACTAACCTTAAAAGCTATTCAAAAGAATTTTAATTTTATTCTATCTGTGTTGGGAACTCATTGGAGAATTTTGCGTCGGAGGATGACATTATGGTAACAGCCTCCTAACCATTTGTTTCTTCTGGCTTTACCCTCCTACAGTCCAGTCTCAGCACAGCCACAAGAGTTATCTTGTTAAAATGTAACCCAGATAATGACATCTGCTCAAAACCTCCAAAGGCTTCCCATATCAGAGAAACAGAAGCCTAGGTACTTGCTATGACTTGCAGAGTTCTACATGATCTGGTTCCCGGTCACTCTCTTACCTCTTCTGGTCCTGCTGTCCCCCTTTTGCCTGTTTCACTTCTTTCCAACCACCAGAAAATGCAAGGCACTGGTCCACCTCCAGGACTTTGTGCCTACTCTTCCTTCTTAGTAATACCTGTCACCCAGATCCTGCATGTTTCACTGCTTAGTCCTCTAAATGTCATCACCCAATGAGTCCGTCTTGCTTGCTGCATAGATAGGGCCAATGTACCGCAGTATTGCAGTGAAGAAACAGGTTACTTAACACAAGAGCAGACAAGCAAAAGGGCAGGAGTTTATAACTCAAATCAGCCCTCCTAATAAACTTAGAGGCTAGGGTTTTCACGAATAATTTGGTGGGCATGGGTCTAGGGAATGGGTGCTGCTGATTGGTTGGGGATGAAATCATAGGGGTATGGAAAACAGTCTTCGTGTGCTGAGCCTGCCTTTGGGTGGGGGCACAGTTATGGGTCCAGGTGGTGTCAGTCACTTAATGAATGTTATTGAAGAAACCGTGGAGAGATGCTGCAAATCCTAGTCTGAACTGAGAGGTTTGCAATGAGACATAAATATGTTAGAAAGTAAAAGTCTGAAAAGCATCTCAAAAGACCCATCTTAAGTTCTATTAGGTAGATGCCATTACTTTTAATGGCAAAAAACACAATTATTTGCGCACAAACCTAGTATCATGGTGATGTTATCTATATGAGCAACTGGAGAGGACACAAATCTTAGGATCGCTGGCCATATGATATGACTCTTGATCAGTAAGGGATTATAGAAAAACAAGCTAGGGGACAATGGCTGGTTATCATTTAGCTACAGCTATATCTTAGCAGACTTCAGGCCCCTCTCATAATTCTAATCTTGCTGTCTTTTATCAGCCTTATAAAGGCAGTTTCAGTTGCCAAACAAGGAGGGATCGGTTTTATGGAGGTACTACTATCATCCTTCCTTTAAAGTTAAACTATAATCTAACTTCCTTCCATGGTTAGCTTGGCCTACCACCAGGAGTGAACAAAGATAGCGAGACAGTGAGGCTAGCAGCGAGATGAAGTCAGCCATGCTAGACTCCTCTAGCTCTCATAATCTCTGCAAACGTGGTTTCATCAATACCCTCCAAAATGCTACATTTGCAGTGAAACCATCCTATCTAAAATTTCATCTCCCTCCCCCAACCTTCTTATTTCCTCCCCTGTTTTGTCAATTTTGTGAATACATATTATTTTCTTTTCTTTTTCTCTTTTTCTTTTTTTTTTAAATAGAGACAGGGTCTTCCTACGTTGCCCATGCTGCTCTTGACCTCTTGCGCTCAATAGATCCTCCTACCTCAGCCTCCCAAAGTGCTGGGATTTTAGGCCACTGTGCCCAGCCTCAATTCTAATATACTATATTATTTACTTATATATTTTATTGTCTCCTCCCTCTAGGAAATAAAATCCATGGGGGCAAGAATTTTTGTCTTTGTTCAATTCTACAAGACAATGGCTGGAACAGTTTCTACACATAATAGATCCTTGGTAAATATTTATTGAATAAATGAGTAAATGGATAAACTAAGGAAAGATAAAATAAAGGAGGCTGCAGAGAGACCTTTCAGGAGGCTATTGTAATTGTTAGGTAGCCTTAAAACAAAAAAAGAGAATAAAATACCTAGGAATACAACTTACAAGGAATGTGAGTGACCTCTTCAAGGAGAACTACAAACCACTGCTCAAGGAAATAAGAGAGGACAAAAACAAATGAAAAACATTCCATGCTTATGGATAGAAAGAATCAACATCATGAAAATGTCCATACTGCCCAAAGTAATCTATAGATTCAATGCTATCCCCATCAAACTACCATTGACTTTCATCACAGAATTGGAAAAAAACTACTTTAAATTTCATACGGAACCAAAAAAGAGCCCACATAGCCAAGACAATCCTAAGCAAAAAGAACAAAGATGAAGACATCATGCCACCTGACTTCAAACTATACCACAAGGCAACAGTAACTAAACAGCATGGTATTGGTACCAGAACAGATATATAGACCAGTGGAACAGAACAGAGGTCTCAGAAATAACACCACACATCTACAACCATTTGACACACCTGACAAAAACAAGCAACGGGGAAAGGATTCCCAATTTAATAAATGATGCTAGGAAAACTGGCTAGCCATATGCAGGAAGCCGAATCTGGATTCCTTCCTTACACCTTATACAAAAATTAACCCAAGATGGATTAAACACTTAAACATAAGACCTAAAACCATAAAAACCCTAGAAGAAAATCTAGGCAACATCATTCAGGACAGAGGCATGGGCAAAGGCTTCATGACTAAAACACTGAAAGCAATGGCAACAAAAGCCATAATTGATAAATGGAATCTATAAGCTAAAGAGCTTCTGCACAGCAAAAGAATATACCATCAGAGTAAACAGGCAACCTACAGAATGGGAGAAAATTTTTGTAATCTATCCATCTGACAAAGGGCTAATATCCAGAATCCACAAAGAGCTTAAACACATTTACAAGAAAAAAACACCAACCCCATCAAAAAGTTAGAATGGCATTCATTAAAAAGTCAGGAAACAGCAGATATTGGAGAGGATGTGAAGAAATAGGAACACTTTTACATTGTTAGTGGGAGTGTAAATTAATTCAACCATTGTGGAAGACAGTGTGGCGATTCCTCAAAGATCTATAACTAGAAATACCATTTGACCCAGCAATCCCATTACTGGGTATATACTCAAAGGATTATAAATCATTCTGTTATAAAGATACATGCACATATATGTTTATTGCAGCACTGCTCACAATAGTAAAGACTTGTAACCAACTCAAATGCCCATCAATGGTAGCCTGGATAAAGAAAATGTGGCCTGCACAGCCTGCAGAACTGTGAGCCAATTAAACCTCTTTTCCTTATAAAATAAAAAAAAAAAA